GTGGGGGGGGGTCAGTGAGATGTTTGCAGGTACCGCATTGCACTACTGACAACAACGCCTCACCCCATGGCCATAAGCGAAGGAAGAGTGCAGCATGATAAACATCGTCAACGACAGCATGCACCACGACAACACCAACACCAACACCAACACGCAACATGCGCTAACCACCACCTTCGCCACCACCACCAGCAACAACAACAACAACAACACCAATCAACAAGCTCACCGCTAACCATTAACATCACCAACAACGATAGCAACAGCGGTAGCAGCAGCAGCATTAGCAGCAGCAGCAGCAGCAGCAGCAGCAGCAGCAGCAAGTCCAACAACAACACCCCACAATCGACAAACACCACCTCTCTCCTGATCTCACCGACTTTCATGCGCCACTGCCACTCCACCGCAAGTCCAACCAGAGGCAGGGCCAGCTGGTACTGCTGGTTGGCATGTAGGAACGAAATCAGCCTGCGACACAACAAGCACATGGTCCGACTAGATTAAACGCTTCCTGTTTTCAGGCGCACTGGGGCTGACGTCTCGTCATCGCTCAGCAGCCGGATAGCGCGCTCGATGCTGAAAAAGACACACACACACACACACCTTGGTGCATGATGCGACGATGGAGCAAGGGGTTAACGAGATGCTGGGTGCTGAAGGTCATGCAACACTTTCGGTGTGTGTTTTCTCTCCGCGCATGACTGAGGCAAGGAGAGACGGACGGTGTGCTTTCCAACCGGGGTAGGCATGCATGCATGCATGCATGCATGCTGCCGCCCGCCTTCACGGTGCGCTCGCAACAGCAGCAGCAGCAGCAGGCTGCTCGGATAGGAGGTGCCTTGCAACCCGCACACTCCTTCATCGCAGCAGACCGCACAAGGCCTTCTCAGAGCAGGGGCACTTGCACACGTGGCTGCTTTCGCAACACAGCCACCCACACGCGCAGACACCGAGAGAATTGTCACCCGGCTGGCCGACCAGGGGAGGCGGCTGCGTGTGCAAAATCGCAGTGCACACACCGCTTCTGCGTCTTACTTCAAGTGATGGTCCTCCCCGCGCCGGTGATGATGAGAAACAAGAGAGAAAAATGTACTCGCGCGCGCGCGGCGTTCCATGCTCCCGTCGGCACAAGCATTTATCTCATGTATCTACTGTACCTCATTTTTTGGGGGGTTGTTGATGTTCTGCTGTTCTCTCTTGCTCCAGGCTCGGTCGCCTCCCGGGCTGTCTGTTTGGTCTGCTATGGTCGCGTTTGTCTTGAATTTTCTGAGTCCGTTGTAATTTTCCATTTGGTTCCTAGAAGTGTGCTTGGGTACAGAAGTTGGCCTGTGACAGCGAAAGGCTCAAGTTGGGCCAGCACGGATGACTGAGACCAGCACGATTTCTCATTGTAAAGAAGACAACAACAACAACAATAACAACACATACAACAGACAGATTACACATCCCGGCGGCTGACTCACCCGCCGCTGTCGAGGTCCGTCAGGTGGGACCTGAGGGTACCCTCGCACATCCCCGCCAGCAGCGACGGGACTCCCCCAAGACCCAGCTGGCGCCCCCCCCTCGCACTAGCCTCCGTCGACATGGCCCAGTAGTCTTGCACCTGATGTACATAGGCAGTCGGCAAAGCAACAAAAATGTTTTCCTCTGTAACGGGTGTGGTCGTAGGCGATGGGATGGTCCTGGGTCGGCAAGGGCAAAAACCGGGTTCTTGTCTTGTACCGTACCATATTGGTGTTGTCTGCGACGGCGGTCGGTGCCAGTTTCCGTATTTCTTGTGACCGGCGGCGGCGCGCGGAAGAAGAAGAGCGTTTCTTTCTGTACGGAACACGCCACGAAATAAGAACTGAGCGGGTAACGAGCTTGGGGAGTCTAAAAACGACCACCGTAATAACTTGGCCACGGGTACACGTTCTCAGTCAACAAGAAGCCTACGCTGAAAATAGTCGCCGTGGGGGTAGTCTACATACCCCATGGACAAAAATCTAAAAAACGCTCGTCCGACGTTAGAGTAAGAGCTTCCTAAACCGTGGCGCGTTCCGTCGGTAGTATTTTGTGGGTGTCTTGTGACAGCGATCATGGGGCCGGCAACGGCCCGAAAAAAACGATTATTTGAAAGGTGGGGGTCCCTCAACAGTCCGGGTTGAGCAGTGCCGCGGCCCGGCGTGATGTAAGCTAGAATCAGGCAACAAAACGGAAGGATAAAATATTTCAAGTTTTTATGTCATTCTCTGGATGGTGCCGGGTGCCCGGTGTGGGGCCGGTGAACCTGGCGGGCAAACGCCGGCACCACTGAGGGACCCCTCCACCGCATACCAGTGGGGGTGCATGTGGTGGGGGGACCCGCCTTCGCGAGAAATCAGATTTGTGAGGGAACCGAACACAACATCCCCGATGCACGCTTTATCCAACCCGCTTGCACGCTTTATCCAACCCGCTTGCACGCCTTATCCAACCCGATCGCACGCTTTATCCAACCCGCTTGCACGCTTTATCCAACCCGATCGCACGCTTTATCCAACCCGATCGCACGCGTTATCCAACCCGATCGCACGCGTTATCCAACCCGATCGCACGCTTTATCCAACCCAATCGCACGCTTTATCCAACCCAATTGCACGCTTTATGCAACCCGATTGCATGCTTTATCCAACATATTTACCAATTATACTATACTGAAGTAAACACAAACCCTTTGCGGAGGCTACTTGATAGGGGTCCTCGGTCACCACGCCCGTGCCCACACCGGGGGGTCTACCTTTTCGTGGCGCGCCTCGTGACCGCCGTTTCTCCCGGAGCAAGACACAACAACCGTCAACCATCCCACCGCACCACTCCACGAGAACCGACAACCATCCCACCTTGGATCCCTACACGAGAACCGTCCACCATCCCACCGCACCCTTACACGAGGACCGTCAACCATCCCGCCGCACCCTTACACGAGAACCGTCAACCATCCCGCCCACCGCACACACACAAAAAAAAAAGCCCAGTATCCAGCCGGCCTCTTGCCCACTCACAGCAAGGGCACATCACCTTCGACAGCTGTGGTTGCATCTCAAACGGGAAGTCTTTCTGCGTGCTGTTCATGTATTTTTCCTTCACAAGTGAGAACATCACCGCTACTCACCACGCCCCAGCTGTCAAGGAAAAGGCCCTCGAGAGCCGTGCAACCCCACGGCTTTGATGCGGCCACGGAGGCCGGCTGCGCATCGCCGCCCCAGCCGCTCCTGCCACCACGCCGCGAGGCTACCGGATGCGTTCCGCCCCGCACGCGGAGATGGTGGCTCCCCACTTCCGCAGATAGGGCGTGTCTGTCGGAAAAGCAATGAGGGGGAGGGATTGACTTGATTGTCATGGCCGTGCACGGCCTTAGGAGGCATATCTCACACCACTTCGTGGATTGGAATGCATCTCACACAACATGGATTTCCCTTTCCCGTTCGATCCCCTGCCCGCCTAACCCTCCCCGCGTTTGTTTCCCGTCCTCTTAACTAAAAACGCCGACACATCCCGAGCCAACGGCGCACAGCGCTGGGAAAGAACCAGAACCACCACCAGCAGCGCGAACCTCCCGCGCTTGCAATGTTCGGGCAACGCATGATAGGTGAGGGCAAAATTGGCGCCAAAGCCCGTGCCGAGATACTCTCACCGCGTGTCACACTACGGGACCCCTTGTCGTCTTATCGTGCCCCGATGAACACTGGTAAGCCCCCCCGTCCCGTAGGCATGCGCGGGAAAAAGAACTACGGGACCCCTGCTGTGCCGTGGGCATGAACCAGCAAAAAAAAATAAACGCGACACGACTCGACCGCAAGGGAAGACGCAGTGGTTCATGCACTTGAGGGCCCGAAGCAGGGTTGCCGCGCGTGTGCATGCACCGGCAACGAGCTGAAGAGATTCGACACAACGCGATCTGACTTTCGAGACTCACTGGTTCATGCACTTGAGAGCCAGAGGCAGGGCGGTCGCGACGATGTTGGCCTCGAGCTGGTCAGCGAGTCCGAGCTAGGTACAAAAGCACCAGCAAGCACCACCAGCGACAGCACGTGGCAGGAGAGGGAAGGGGGGGGGGGGGGGG